ACAGCTTTGCCCTCTCCTGGCCACCATGAGCACACACATACACACACACACACACTTTAAATATTTTTTAAGAAAATAAATCAAATACCAGAAGATGTCTCTGTGGTTAAGAGCACTTACTGAGCAACCATGAGGAGGACCGGAGCTTGCATCCATGCTGAGGTAACAGCCGAGAGTGATGCAGATGCTCGTAAGTCCAGCTTCACTTTAACTTCAGCTCAGTCTCTACCTCCAGCTCCAAAGGATCCAAAGCACTCCCCTGGCCTTTGCACATGCACCTGCATGCCTCCACACACCCACACCTCTACACACACCCGTGTACTCACACAGATATGTGTCCATATAAGTAAAACAAATCTTAAAACATAAAATAAACCAGTAGGAAGGAAGTACTAGGCACCTGACAGTGCCACTGACAGTGCCTTAGATAGCAGGATAAAAGACATATGTAAGCCGGGCGGTGGTGGCGCACGCCTTTAATCCCAGCACTTGGGAGACAGAGGCAGGCGGATTTCTGAGTTCAAGAGTTCGAGGCTAGCCTGGTCTACAGAGTGAGTTCCAGGACAGCCAGAGCTATACAGAGAAACCCTGTCTCGAAAAACCAAAAAAAAAAAAAAAAAAAAAAAGACATATGTAACCGGACCTGGTGGCACATTCATAAAATCCAGCATTTGGGAGGAGAATCAGAGCTTTAGACCAGACAAGGCTGAAGAACAGAGATATTTTATGCACAGGTCCTTCCATATACTCTCCCTCTGGAACAAGATGGTGCTCCGTTCTCTGGCCCTCAGTGGGATACCCCTGCAGGCATTGCACTGAATGCCTGCATTTCACAAAAGAGAAGCGCTGTCTCTAACCCACCTAGTGCCCTCATGTGGACTCCAAGAGAGGAGCAGAACAGGTAAGGTGACCTCCACTTTGCAGATGAGGAAGGAAAGTTTGTTCTCAGAGTCACAGAGAACAGGGCCCCACTGCAGTTCAAGACAGATTTCCTCTCTCTTCCAGCCCAGTTCTCTCTCCACTAAACCATACAGCCCAAACCACCCTTAAGGGGAGATTTCCCAGGGCACTCCAGCCACTTTTTGGGTGGGGGGAGGGTCTGGCCTGTTGTAGGAAGATCTCTCTCTCTCTCTCTCTCTCTCTCTCTCTCTCTCTCTCTCTCCTTTTTTCTTTTTTGTTCTTATACTATTATTGAATTTCCCTTGGTGGACCAGCAGCTCCTTGATGACAGAACTGGCTTTCCTCTTGCTCATGTGAGTCATCTGTAGTATTCATGTTCGTGTTGTTTTGGACGGAGTCTCATGCAGCCCAGGCTGACGTCAAAGTTGCTATGCACCCAAGGATGAACTGAATACCTAGTCTTCCTCCCAAGTGCTGGTAACATAGACATGTGTCATCACTCTCAAATTCCCAGGCTCTTAAATAGGAATCTAGAAATACCATGTAGATACAATCTCATACAAGCATCACCTGTCAATAAAAATGCCTATGGCTAATGAGCTGAGACAGGAAATAGGAGGCGGGACATTGGTAGGAAGAGAAAGGATTCTGGGAAATAGTGAGAGGATAAAAGGAGATATTTGTGGGAGACGAGATGGGAGACAGATGGAGGAGACAGGCTGAAGAGACAGACAGAAGTAAACCAGCAGGGGGATGCTGAGGAGAAGTGAAGGAAGAAGTGGGCCAGGTCTGAAGGAGAGGGAACTAAGCACATGGTAGACATAGAATAGTTTGAATGGGTTAAATAAGTTATGAGCTAGTCAGGGAATGAGCCAAAGCTTATGACCTAAGCATTTAATAATAAATATTTAGTCTCAGAGTCCTCCTTCTGGGAGCAAGACCTGGGAAAGAAAAAACACACCCTACTTCTAAAACCAATAATTCTCCGAGCATAGTCCTGGTCCAGTGGGTGAGGGTAAGAGTTTCCAAAATAGCACTAAACAGATCCCAAATTCTGATTCTTAAAGTAAGTAACACAGTAATATGCTTTTATGGGTATAAGGAATTAGGAACAAAATATGTGAATCAATTAAATAGTGTCATTAATAAACAAAAATTGGCAGGGCAGTGCTGGTGCATGCCTTTAAACCCAGCAGTTAGAAAGCAGAGGCAGGCTATCTCTGTGTTTGAGCTAACCTGATCTACAGTGAGTTCTAGGACAGCCAAGGCTACACAGAGAAACCCTGTCTCAAAAAAACCAGAAAAAAAAATTGTCTGTTACAAGTGTGCTAAGTGTGCTAAGTCTGCAAAAAAGAATGGCCTCCATCATGTCCAAACAATACTTCAAAACTCTTGGGTATTCACTCAGGGCGAGGTCTGGAATTCCCACCATTCTCAGAGAGGGCGTTTTGTTGTTAGTGCAGAAGACGTTTGTGCTTTTCCCAGTGAGCCAGAACTGTGTGAACTCCCTTCCTATGCCCAAGTCTTCCTCCTTAGGAGCCCCAAGTCTCCAAGGTTGACGCTGGAATTTATAGTGCCAGCCCACTTCACTTAGGACCCAGCCAAGTAGTATCCGGGGTCAGCCAGGCCCAACTCCTGCCTGAAAGTCAGTGTCATTGAAGAAGACAGACTACTGGGGAGTGGCTCTGGGGGGCCAGTGGAATAGCACCCTGCTGCTTGACATCCTTTTATGAACTCCTCTTCTGCAAGCTTGCTAGGATGGGTTAAAAGTTCACAGCTCTGACTCTCACCTGCTATGAGAGTTGGATGTTAATTGTGCTTTTTTTTTTAACTTCTATTACTCATAAAATCATTGTTGGGGATTTGTGTTGATTGCTATCTTGAGTATTTCCTTTATTACCACATTATTTTCCTCTTCCACTTTACCCTTTATTTCCATTCCCACCCCCACTGGAACATGGAAATGAGTGGACTCAGTAGACCACGAGGATTTTTGCTCCAACCCTGTGGACTGCTGTCTAGATAGTTGAGAAACCACAACTTGAAGCAAATATTCCTCAGGAATCCAGCCCCATTCCTCCTTCCTGGGTCCTGCAGTGGGAGTGTCTCATGGGCAGAGATGGACACCCTCTGTGTGGAGGGGTGAGGGGCACCTCTGCACCTCCTATGCCTAGCTAGCATCACTGTCCTTGGATAGGATCCAACTGGAACCTTGTGAGGCACCAGCATGGATGCCTCCCATGAGCCCCAGGTGCAGACTCTTCAGCATTTCTGTGAGCTATGGCTTCTGCCTTCTGGGTTGGGAGGAAGGTTTTTCTTGGCTGAAATACACACAGCCTGCCTACTCAGGAATCAGTTTATACAAAACGGCAGATGAAAACTGATCCCCAGATATCTGGGTGGAGCCAATACCGTTTGTTTTGTCTTTGTTGTCTTTAATTGTGCAATACCCCATCCAGCCTTCTACAAGTTCAATGTGCAGAGTAGACATCTGTCATGTGTGTCAAACAAGGATGATGGACACTTAGTCCAGCAACATGTCAGCTGAAGGAAAGGTAAGTATCATTAGAGATGAACCAGAGACAAAGGGCTCTAGAAACTTCTATCAGTTTGATGTTGGAAGCAGATGGGACTTATTCAGTGTGCCACCTGGCAGTATTTAGGAAGGCTGTGTACTGTTGTGACATGAATTTTGATCTGTTGTACTTAATGTAGGTGCCGTGTTTCTGTGTGTTTCTCAAAGTTCATGTGTTGAAATTTAAACTACGGTGTTGGAGAGGGGGACCTAACGAGGAGATGGGGTCACCAGGGCTATGCCCCCATGAGTAGATAGATTGTGTGCTGTGCCTTGGGAGTGGGTTAGCGGTTGAGAGAGTAGGCTCACATACCATGTCAACTATAGTCCTCCGCTCTACCAGCTGTGCTAGCCAAGGCTCCGCTGTAAGCTCACATAAAAAGTGAGTTTGGCCTTTACTTGCTCAGTCACTCTTCTGCTTTCTTTCCCAGGGTGGTACAACATGAAGTCCCTCTCTGCAAAGGCCAGCACCTTGCTCTTAGATTTCCCAGCCCTCAGCAAGATGAGTCAGGTAAATTCCTGATTCATGCAAAATTGTCCAGTTTCAGATATTCTCTTACCTAGAATTATCTTAGGAAACAGACTAAAATAGTAGGTGAAGTCACTAATAAAACATGTTTCTGGGAGTCACACTCTAGGTTCAAACCATCCAAGAGCAGCTCAGAGGCACCACACAATGGCTGGCCATATGGAGCCTGGTACAGGGCCGACTTCCATTAGACCCCTCCTCTTCCCTCAAGCCACGTTGTGGCCTCTCTCAAGTCAAGACCTCTCTCCCAGCTCCAGGCCAGGACTCTGTAAGTACTGAGTGTCCATGCAGCCATCCTTGCTAATTCTATTGCTGAAAGAAATCTCTAACCGGACCTTGGGCATGATCTTTATATCCTAGCGGGTATACTGAGGCCCCATGACGTGTATATCACACTATAGCCGAAGTCAGCTATTGCCTTCTAGATTCCTTGCTTCCTATTAGAAGCTCCTGCTATGGTGCTTGTCTGCCTTAGGCTTTGGAGGACACTGACTTTAAGGCTTCTCTAAAAACAACATGGCTGCTCTTCCCAGTTTCCATAGAGAATAATGGAGCTTTCATTGGAGTGACTGCTTGCCAGAATACTGCACACACTCCCACTGGTGACCTTTGCTTGCAGCCTCTGGCTACAGAGACAGTACCAAACACAATAATAAAAACAGTTGCCAAGATCAATTAGGTACCTTCTCTGTATTCAACCTTTACTCTTCCCTCCTCACCACCTGGGGCCCTCGAAGTCCTGACTCCTCTCCAAATGAGACAAAGATGGCTGCCTCCTGACCCAGTCCAAGCTCAGTACTTCGTTCAAAGAAACAGCAGCTAAGCAGATAAAAAATTAATTGGAAGCTATCCAAACCTTCACTGTAGTCTCCAGAGAAAATACTGAAGGGGAAAAACATTCTTAGTGCAAAGCAAAACTTCTGCTTTCCTCTCTGCTATTCTAGGCACCTTGCTCCAATAGAGCAGCTGCTGCAGCAGCAGAGACCTTTGTTCCCAGCATCCTCTGCACATCATCACCTCTCGCCTCCAACTACCCTCCTCCCCACCTGGCACAATTCATCATTACCAGGTTCTCTCTGCCCTCTCCTCAGGAATTCCAGTGCTGGCTCTCCTGGCCAGGCCTTTATTCTCTCTGGATAATCCAGTCTACATAGTAATAGAGCCACACTGAAGCAGGCTGTGCCTGGCATTTCCTCAAAAAGGAATTACTCAGAAGGCTTCACAGACAAATGAATATACCCATCAATAGTTCTATTCTCCATTATAAGTGATTTTATGGTGAGAGAGCTAAGGCTTAGTTAGATATGATGATGATAACATCCATGATTATAATAATAATTGTTAGGTGCATATTGTCCTGTACTGGTGCTAGGACGCTTATTTAGTGGTCATGATAGATAGGTTATATCCTTCCATGGACAACAGGCTCAAGGGTACAGATCTAATACGAGGCAGAGTTCGTCCAACTACATGGGGCAAGCTCTTAAGCACAGATTGGAAAGACCCTCTGGTCTCCAGTTTCTGTAACTGTCTGTGAAACAAGTTGTTTGGAGCCTAAACAGAAGAGAAGAAACCAGACATCAGCAAAGGTGCCTGGAGAGATGGCTTAGTGTTAAGAGCACTGGCTGCTCTTCCAGAGGGCCTGGGTCCAATTCCAAGTACCTACATGGCGGCTCATAACTATCTGCAACTCTAGTTCCAGGGGATGTGACAGCCTCCTCTGGCCTCCTTAGATGGCATATATGTGGTACAGTGACATATATACAGACAAAACACCCAGAATGTAAAATAATTAGTTGTTTTTAGTTTTAAAGATCAGCAAGGGATGGAGTCTAGACTTGGATTCCATCACAGACTTGCTCTTGGGCTATCAAGTGACTATTAAAATATAAGTATTTTCCAGGGATGTAATAGGTCCATAAATAAATTAATTTGCTAAGGAATAGAGTGGGGGAAAATGCAGTCTTACTTAATCAATTAAAAAATGCAATTAGGTTTCAAATAACCTTGAAGGGTTGCAAGGAGACTTGGGGTGTCTAACAACTGATTAACAGACAGTAGCGGTTGAGTTACATGGTCATCAATTTTATATACAATGTTATTTGTAGAACAGCACTCTGTCAAAACTTCCATTCTGAAGACATATCTTTGAGCCAGAAACAAGAGTTTGGGGTTGCCAATTAATTTTGTTTCCCTGTCATTCACTGAGTTGTATCGTGCTGGGATGAATGACATCCCTGGTTCCTGCCTTGCATCACTAGGGAGATGTATCTCCCTGCCAATGGAGCGTTTCCCCCAGACTCAGAGGGATGCCACTGCAGCAGCCTTGGAAGGAAAGCCTGTATCCAATCCAGTCCTGCCCCAGTGGCAGATAAAAACCATGAGCTTCCCCAAGGTTAAGACTTGAAATGGGAGTCTTCCCTGGTCCCATTTTCAACTCTACACCTCCAATGGCATGAGAGTAGTGGGCACAGGAGGATTAAGGACCCAGTACTGGAATCCGCTTAAACCAGCTGTCCAGGGGACAGCTCGTACACTCCACTCTGCATTTTGCTTGTTTGTGACAGGGCTTGCTTTATAGCCCAGGCTGGCTTCATAACTCAGGCTGGCTTCGTAGCCCAGGCTGGCCTCAAGTTCTCTATTTTCTCACTTGACTTTTCTTACTACTAGGATTATAGGCACATGTTACCATGCCTGTTCTTACGTACTTTATATCTGTGTTTGTATAATACATAGAATATTTATTTACTATGTTTGTGATATGAATGTTTATTTTGTATAAATTAAGTCTAGGTTCCACATATGAAAGAAAGCAATTCTGTTTTTCTGAGTCTGCCTGTTTCCCTTAATGTACTGACTTCCAGGTGCATCCATTTTCTGTCATGATTTCATTTTTATTGCTGTATAAAATCCCACTGTGTATATGTTATATCTTTTTTATCCATTCAACTTGATAAGCATCTGGGCTGGTCCTACTTCTTGGGTATTGCAACTAGTAGAGCAGCAAACATGTATGTTGCATTATATTCCTTTGGGCATATACCCAGAAGTGGTATGAGTAGGTCTATTTTTTTTTTTTTAGGAACGATGATCTTTTGTTGTGGGAGGGTTCATCAATCCTTCCTGGCCGGGCCTTCCTCATGGCTGCCAGTACGTGCGCAGTTCGTAGGGCACGAAGCTGCACACCTCCGGGATCATGTCCCTCATGATCTCGGTGTGCTTGGTGAGCCCGTGGTGCCGGCTGTGTCTCGGCTTGCTGATGTTCTTCGTCAGTTTGTGGCCCTTGTTGAGGCCCACGGCCATGGGGTAGCGCAGGGCCATAGCTGCTGCTCTCTAATGGTGGCCGGACAGGAAGCTAAGTAGGTCTTAATGCCGTGTCTGTTTTTAGTTTTTGAGGAATTTCCACTAGTTTCTGTGAGTCACCATCCTCTGCACCTGTGCTTTTGTGCCCCATCCCCTGTCTCTATGCATTTCCCTGAGAAGACTGCTCAAGGAGAAATCCAAACTTAGGTGGTAGGCTGCCGAGTGTGTCTCCTTGTTCCTGTTTTGATCTTTGTTCCTGTTTTTATTCCTGTTCCTGTTTTGTGGTGAGTATAAAAGGGAGCTATGCAGTTGAAAATATAGCATTTGGTTCTTTACCAGATGACTCCTTGTCTTTCTTTCTCTCACCCTCAGCCCTCCGCCGATCCAAGGAACTCAGTCAGCTATGCTGGCGTAGCTGACAAGTTTCCATATTGGCTGCACAAGATTGCATTCCTACTTGCAATGAGTAAGTTCTCATTCACTGTGTTCTCACCAGCGTTTATTGTCTGATTAGGAAAAGATGAAATTTTTCTTTTTTTAGTTTTTCAAAACAGGATTTTTCTGTGTGGCCCTGGCTGTCCTGGAACTTGCTCTGTAGACCAGGCTAGGCTTGAACTCAGAGATCCTCCTGTCTCTGCCGCCTGTACTGGAATTAAAGGTGTGTGTCACCACTGCCAGGCTGAGAAGGAATCTTGAAACTGTTTTAGTTTGCATTTCTCTGATAGCTCCCAGAAGAATAAAAACAGCCAATAAATACTTGAACCAATGTTTAAATTCCTTAACTATGTATTCAGTTCATTGGCTGAATTTATTGACTGGATGTTATGTGTGCATTTAATGTTTGCAGTTTTAAAAACTGGATATTAATTCCCTGTCTAGTGAGTAGTTGGCAATCCCCCTCTGCTGCCAGGATGTCTCTTCACACTGGTGATTGTTGGGTTTGCTGTACGGAAATGTCTTGATTTAACATAGTCCCAATTCTTTTTTTTTTTTTTCGAGACAGGGTTTCTCTGTATAGCCCTGGCTGTCCTGGAACTCACTCTGTAGACCAGGCTGGCCTCGAACTCAGAAATCCGCCTGCCTCTGCCTCCCAAGTGCTGGGATTAAAGGCGTGCGCCACCACCGCCCGGCTAATAGTCCCAATTCTTGGGATCATTATGTGTAGTATTTATTAGCTTCCTTTCTAGGAAAACAGTAGGTGCTCAGCAGTTGTTGGTTGCTTTGTTTTTGTTTATGGACTGTGTACTGGCCAAGCAGTAAACTGTTGTCTCTTACTCTTTTTTTTTGTTTGTTTGTTTGTTTTTTTCGAGACAGGGTTTCTCTGTGTAGCTCTGGCTGTCCTGGAACTCACTCTGTAGACCAGGCTAGCCTCGAACTCTCGAACTCAGAAATCTGCCTGCCTCTGCCTCCCAAGTGTTGGGATTAAAGGCGTGCGGCACCACTGCCTGGCTGTCTCTTACTCTTGCCTGACCCTCCCCTCCACCAATGTGTCTGTTCATGTGTGTGTGTGTGTGTGTGTGTGTGTGTGTATCAGTGTGTCTGTGCATGTCTGTGTGTGTGTGTATCTGTGTGTCTGTGCATGTCTCTCTCTGTGTGTGTATCTGTGTGTCATCTGTGCATATCTCTCTCTCTCTCTCTCTCTCTCTGTATCTGTGTGTCTGCCTCTCTCTCTCTCTCTCTCTCTCTCTCTCTCTCTCTCTCTCTCTCTCTGTCTGTGTGTGTGTATTTAGAGAGGTGAATATCTGTTTCCTATGTGGAGATTTGGAAGCCAGTGTGCAGGCCAGTACAGGAAGTCAGCAGTAGTCACAGAGAACACACAGGGTGGAACTGATGTGGTGGGAGGGCTTCTGATGGACTTTTACTAGGTGGATTGAATCATGCTTCCATCCACAATTGTCTAAAAGGCCTGAGTTGAAGGAAGTTAGTGGCTTAGCATGGGTACGCGGCAG